AGCGTTTGAGATTTTTTGCTGGAGGCGGGGCCAGCCAATGAAGTCTTCTCCCCGCTCCTTCACCCTGCCCAGAGTAGAGCCATGTGGAGCAGCTTGCAACTGCAGCCTTCCAGTTCCTGCAGGGCTGCTGGCTGGGAGCCACCTAGGTGAGCGCCTCCCAGCCAGAGCCTGCCTCTGGCACCCCTGCTTTCTTCTCTCCCCCTCAGCTACCTGCCCCAGGCCACCGCCCAAACCCTCTGTACCCTTTTCACCCAGGTCACAACTCCCTCCCAGACCCTGAACACTCTCCTACACCCTTCCCCCAGGCCAGAATCTTCTCCTGCACCCACACCCCCTCCCTGACCCTACACCCCAATCCCCTGACCCAGGTCACAACCCCCTCCTTCACCCAAACTCCCTCTCAGACCTCACACCATCTCCTGCACCCAGTCCCTTACCCCGTATGCCCTTCTGCACCCAATCTCCACCCTAGATCCTGCACCCCCCCACACACACACACAGACAATGAACTTGACCACTTACCAAATCTTGAAGTGCCCCCCCTCCCAAAAAAATGATTGCCCACCCCTGCTGAGCGCTTGGGCAGACACCCAGGAGAAAGTCGAATGCCACCCAGCTGATCAGCCAGCAGCCTGTTTCTATGGGTGGTGCACATCCACACATGCCTTGGTGCACAGAACAAAATTTATTCTGCACCGGGAGGGAGAAAAATTGGTGGGAACATTGTTGATGGAGGTGGGATGTGGAGGCGGGGGGAATGAAGAGGCGGTGAGGGGGTAAGATTTTGGGGGAAGAGGCAGCATGAGGGCGGGGCCTCAGGGAAGGGGGCAAGGTGAAGAAGTGGGGCCACGTTTCAGCGTGTCTACCATGCCCGATGGCAATTACGATTCTCTAGCTATTTCGGATTCACATGGCACCTCCCTTACCCATGTGGCCTCGGCATGACACCAGGCCCATAGTCCCTTGTGACGCTGTATTCCACTGGGGGCCCAAGCGGGATGCACGCCAGCTCTGAGGGCTGCGGCCCCTAAATCCCTTAGGGGAGCCAGGCCTTGGGGCTTGAATAGGAGCAAAGCTCCTTGGAAAACAGCCCTTGGGCCCAGAGAGGGGAGATTGGCATTTTGCAGATGCTGGCTCCGCGGTTCTCAAACATCTCTGCACCCCACTGACAACGAAAATGACAACACAACCCCCAGGATGGGGGACTGAGGCCAAAGCCCGCCATGTGTGTGTGTGGGGCGGGGCCAAGGCAAAGCCCGAGCCCCACCACCTAGAGCTGAAGCCATCGGGCGTTGGCCCCGGGCCCCAGCAAGTCTGAGAGAGCCCTGGCGACCCCGTGAAAATGGGGTGGGGTGCTGGGGATCCCCTTTGGGGCCTGAGGGAGAGGAGTCCCTCCCTGCCAGCCCCACCACAGAGCTGCCACAGCTGGAGGAAAGGGGCCCCTCTTTACTCTTCCCAGCAGGGAGGCACCCAAGTAAGCCTGAGCCCCATGTCTCTGCCCCATCTTGAGGCTCCCTCCAGCCCTGAGCCCCCTCCTGCACCCCAATGCCCTACCCCAAAGAACACCCCCCAACCAGCATCTGTGCCCCTTTCTGCATGCAACTCATAGCCCCAGCGCCTGTACCCCTTCCTGCACCCCCACCCCCAGCCCAGCGCCTGTACCCCTTCCTGCACCCCCACCCCCAGCCCAGCGCCTGTACCCCTTCCTGCACCCCCACCCCCAGCCCAGCGCCTGTACCCCTTCCTGCACCCCCACCCCCAGCCCAGCGCCTGTACCCCTTCCTGCACCCCCACCCCCAGCCCAGCGCCTGTACCCCTTCCTGCACCCCCACCCCCAGCCCAGCGCCTGTACCCCTTCCTGCACCCCCACCCCCAGCCCAGCGCCTGTACCCCTTCCTGCACCCCCACCCCCAGCCCAGCGCCTGTACCCCTTCCTGCACCCCCACCCCCAGCCCAGCGCCTGTACCCCTTCCTGCACCCCCACCCCCAGCCCAGCGCCTGTACCCCTTCCTGCACCCCCACCCCCAGCCCAGCGCCTGTACCCCTTCCTGCACCCCCACCCCCAGCCCAGCGCCTGTACCCCTTCCTGCACCCCCACCCCCAGCCCAGCGCCTGTACCCCTTCCTGCACCCCCACCCCCAGCCCAGCGCCTGTACCCCTTCCTGCACCCAACCCCCAGCCCAGCACTTGTTCTGCTTCCTGCACCCCAACCCCCAGCCAGCGCCTGTACCTCTTGCACCCCAACTTCCAGCCCAGTACCTGAACCCCCCCACACCCAAGACCCTCATTCCCTGCCCCCCCAGAGCCAGCACCCCCAGCCAGAGCACTTGCACCCCAATCCTTCTGTCCCAACCCTGAGCTCCTCAAGTCCAGCCCCAGCCTAGAACCTGCACCCCAACCGCCAGCTGGAGCCCTCATATTCCTGCTAGGGATGTAAACAACTAGCCAACTAGTCCTTCGACTAATCGCTTCCCCCCACCACTGCTTCTATCAGAGGCAGCAAGGGGGGAGCAGGCCAGTACTGGGTCTTGGCAGGGACCAGGGGAGTAGCGGGGACCTGTGGGCTCTTAATACATTTAAAAAGCTAAAGCGCACCAGGGGGGCGGGTGGGATCAGCTGATTCCCGGCTCGCATCCAGTCCCAGACACTGTGCCTCTGCTTTTTAACTATATCAAGAGCCTGCCGCTTTAAGATCAGAAGCGCAGTGGGGGAGGGACCTGGTGCAGGCTTGGGTTCCCTCTAAGCTTGTTCATCCATGTGCAGAATGAATTTTGTTGCGTGCAGCAAGGCATGTGGGGATGTGCACCCACATACAAGCTGCTAGCTGTCGGCGCTCTGCTCATCAGCTGGATGTTATTTGAATCTCTCCAGGGCTCTCAATATTTAAAAGGCAGAGCCGCAGCAGAGTTAGTTCCTGCAGTGGGGAGCGAACCCCACTGTGGCTCCCCTGCTTATCGACTACTTGACGGAAAATTCCCAGACACTGTGCCTCTGCTTTTTAACTATATCAAGAGCCTGCCGCTTTAAGATCAGAAGCGCAGTGGGGGAGGGACCTGGTGCAGGCTTGGGTTCCCTCTAAGCTTGTTCATCCATGTGCAGAATGAATTTTGTTGCGTGCAGCAAGGCATGTGGGGATGTGCACCCACATACAAGCTGCTAGCTGTCGGCGCTCTGCTCATCAGCTGGATGTTATTTGAATCTCTCCAGGGCTCTCAATATTTAAAAGGCAGAGCCGCAGCAGAGTTAGTTCCTGCAGTGGGGAGCGAACCCCACTGTGGCTCCCCTGCTTATCGACTACTTGACGGAAAATCCATCGACTAGACGATTAGTTAATTAACTTGTATTTAACATCCCTAATTCTTCCACCCCGACTCTTTCTCGCAGGCCTGACCTCAGCTACCCCCACTAAGAGCCTCTTGGCCCCACTCCCAGCTCATTAAGTTAGATATGTGCACCCCTCTGAAGGTACTGTGTGTCTCAGTCCCTCCATGTCACATGCCCCCCTCTGGGTCGTAAGTCCCCTGCACACTGGTGCACAGAAGAAAATTCATTCCACTCGGGATTGGGGGGGGCGGGATAGAGGGAACCTTGGTCCCAACCCACCGAGAATCCTGCATTCAGATCCCTCCAGGCAGCTGTCCCCTCAAGATAAACCAGACTCACACACCGAATTGCAGTACAGATCCACGGCTCCATTTAAAACCAACGTAAACGGCTTCTCCAACCTCCTGGATCTGGAAGACACTCTTCATATGCCAGGACCTTGGGGGACAGGGTCCCCCCCCTCCACCTTCCACTTACAGCCAGGCCAGGAGCTGCTATTTTAATACAATCTTTCCAGCTCTGGGTAGTTTTCTCCAGGCTCTTGGTGCATCTCTCTGGGCTCACACAGCTTTCGGACGCGACGGATTTCTGATCGCCCGCCCCTTTCTGCAGCCAGCGCTGGTGAGGCAGCAATGCAGAAGGTGATTATTATTCCATGGGGCCAGCGGTATAGGATCTGTCCTTTTGGCAGGAAAAAACAGGAGGCGTCTCCGGGCCTGGGCGCTCGGCTTCTCACACAGCCTGGAGAAAGCAGAGTGTGGCGCTCAGCACTGTGGGATAGTTTTTGGCTGGCTTTCCCATGGGCATAGTTTATAACGGTTTTCCTCCAAGCCCTCCTCCCGCCTCCTTTTCTTCTCGTTGCTAGGCAACAGCGAGCAGGAAGCCAGAAACATCCTCTGACTTCCATGGGCTGTCTGCCGTTCCCTACATTTGGGCCAGGAAGAGAGCCGGGCAAGTGGCTTTAATCCAGGTTTGCATTCTCTGCCTCCCTTCTCCTGCCCCACTAGGGCTAAGCCAACCAAGGTTCCCGCTAACTGTTTCCATCTCGGTGTGGGATAAATTTTGTTACATGCACCCAGGCATGGGAGGATGTGCACCACCCATAGAAACACAAACCTAGCAGTGGGCACTCTGCTACTAGGCTGGTGTCATTTCAGTCTCTCCTGAGTGACTAGCCAAGCTTAGACCAAGACTCGGCTTACAGGGAACACGGACGCCAAAGGCAAGACAGAGCAGCCTCAGGGCACGTCCAAACTACGGGGGGGGAAGGGGGTTTGAAAGAGGGTATGCAAATTCCATGTGTTCTGATATCACTTTCAAAAGTGAAAGTAGTCTGGATGCAGTTTTTTCAGGAAAACACTCCTTTTTCAAAAAACCCACATAAACCTCCTTTTTTAAGGAACAGCGTGGGTTTTTTTTAAAAGGGTTTTTTTTTCCTAAAAAAACTGTGTTCGGACTACTTTCATTTTCGAAAGTTCCTCTTTCGAAAGTGAGATTGGAAGAAGCTAGGCACGTTCCCAGGGAATTTGCATATCCTCTTTCGAAAATTCTGCGTAGTCTAGACGTAGCCTCAGTGTCTCCGCTTGAACTGTGGTGGCCGTTTGAATATTTTGGTGGCCACGAAGGTGGTCTTCTTGGCAAGCCAGGGCTGAGAGCAGGGAGCAAGTGGGGGGACAAGATTGTCCTGGGATCCCCCAAACATCTGCAGTGTCTGTGTCGATGAGTCCCATGGGTGTCCGGTAACCGTGGCAGGGGAAGGCTTTGCCTTCCCGAACCCCCAGCCTGGCATACCGTAGGCGTACTGGAGGCAGAAAGTTGCTGCCCCAGCACCCACCCTCCTCGTGCTCCAGGGCTGGGGAGGCAGGGACCGTGTGCTGCTCACCCTCCCCATGGTACCGTGCAGGGGGGGCAGCGTGGCTCTTGTGGAGGGGTGGGGGCAGGCCTGGGGCAGCGTTGGGGGCTTGTGGAGGAGGAGGAGTCCTGTGCCACCTTACGGACTGACATTTATTTGGGCATCCGCTTTGGCGGGTGAAAACCACTTGCTCAGAAGCAGGGCCGAAGTGGCTTTGGCCCCACAACACTTGTTGGTCCGTAAGGTGGCACAGGGACGCCTCGTGGCGTTTGCCTCCTGTCCGACATCCCCGCTGCCCCTGCGTGTAGGGCTGGCTTGAGCCGCCTGCAGGGGCGGGGCTGCTGCTTGTCGCCCCACACACATGCCTCTGCGCCCCGTCCGAACCAGAGGCCCCACTTTCCGCTCTGGGCCCCCGTGGCCTGGGGTTTTCACACACCCGAATAAGCGAGTTTACTGAGGTGCGGGCTACGTCTACGGGCCACAAAGCAGGCCTGGCCGCATCCCTGCCCCACAGCCACTGTTGCAGCTCTGCTGAGTGACCCCTTACCAAGGCTACAATTTCCTGGGGGACGCTCGACCCCCGACTCCAGCCCCAGGGCCCTGCCCCCATACCGGTCCTTGCTCTGCCCCATGCCTTGCCCCCACTCCACCTGCATCAGCGCAGAAGTAAGGGAGGCACAGTATGGTATTGCTACTGCTGGCAGGGTGCTGCCTTCAGAGCTGGGTACCTGGCCAACCGCCGCTGCTCTCCAGCCTCACAGCTCTGTAGGCAGCGCAGAAGTAAGGATGGTAATACCACAAGCTCCCTAAAATAACTTCGCGAGCTCCCCTGCAACTCCCTTTTCGGACAGGCCCCCCAATTGGAGAAATACAGGTCGGTCTGTGGAATCCGCCTAGCATAGGGTTAAAGCACACAACAGTTCAGATTTCCTGGGGGAGGCTTAAATTTCATGATCCGTGAGCCATTTTTCATGGCTACGGATTTGGTAAGGTGCTATTGATAGTACTAGACGGATAAGCAGTGCGACCCAGAGACTTTCAAACATAAAATGAATGTTTGGAGACAAAAAGTGGTGTTGAACTGCAAAATGAAACCTTTTTTTTTTTCTGAAATCATCGAGACGGCTCATTTTGGCACTTCCAAATGTTTACTATTTTCCCAAACACCAAAGCTTCATAAAAATGAATACAGTTAATTTAAAAAAATGCCTTGAGATGAAAAGCAATTGTTCAAAGCAAAATTGTTAAAACAAAAATATTTCTTTTAGGTCAATTAAAGTGTTCACATTCAATACCTTTGAGGTGTTTTCATTTTGATTTCGGCCGTTTTCTTTTCTTTTCTTTTCTTTTCTTTTCTTTTCTTTTCTTTTCTTTTCTTTTCTTTCACTTTCAGTTGAAAGGAAGATGGCCTTGAAACAAGACGGAATTTCAACGTGAAAAATCAAAACTTTTTTTGTTTTGAAAATATAAAAAATGGGATATTTATACAGTACCTGCCCCTAACTTTTTTTTCAGCTGGCATTGTACATTGTAAGCACCCAAGCAACAATTTACATGGAGGTCTTTGTAGGCCCCCAGCTCCACCTGCGTAGAGGGGATGGGTCACAGAATGGGAGTCTTTCTTGACTTCAGAATGTGAAAATCGCTACAGGACATAGGTCTTTTGACTTTGTCACAGGTTCCCTGGTTAGGGGAGGTCAAACGGTGACTTTCTCTGTTGTCCTTGTGGCTCACTATGATGTTCAAAATGCAAAGCCAACTTCAGTTTATTTTAGGAGTCACATTTACCTGTGGATAAAATCCATATTTTTAAATATACATATTTTCTGTTATGCTCCCCTGCTGCCTATTTATAAAATTGGGGCTGTCTGGGGTGGGAGTAAATATGGTTCCCCTGAGGGGTCCATGACTCAAACTCAAATGGAGAACAAAGAAAACACATCAAGGATCTCTGTGCGGAATATGGGTAGGCGAGGGGGAGGAATGATTCTGATCAAAATTTGACGTTTCCTCCAAAGCTGAAAAAGTTTCAGCACTTCTGATCACAGGGCAAGACACAATGGGCTTAAATTGCAGCAAGGGAGGTTTAGGTTGGACACTAGGGAAAACTTCCTAACTGTCAGGGTGGTGAAACACTGGAATAAATTGCCCAGGGAGGTTGTGGAATCTCCATCTCTGGAGATATTTCAGAGCAGGTTAGATAAACATCTCTCAGGGATGGTGTAGATCAGTGTTTCTCAACCTTTTGTTTTATAAAGTACCCCCTTTTCCAAAAAAAAAAAAATGTATAAGTACCCTCCAGTACCTACAGTTTTCAGACACACACATTTTTTTTAACCATTGCAACACATTTGTTTAAACAACTTAATCATAGCTGGGTGAGCGAGGAAATTTTTGGCTGTAAAAAATTCAAAAATAATCAAGCGCTGTAAAACTTACAATAAAAAATCTGTTTTCTCCAAATTTCAGTTGTGTTGACGTACCTCCCTCCCCCGACTTTTCTCAATTATCCCTTAGGGTACTCTTTGAGAAACACTGATCCTAGATGGTGCTTGGTCCTGCCATGAGGGCAGGGGACTGGACTTGAAGACCTCTCGAGGTCCCTTCCAGTTCTAGTGTGCTATGATTCTGCGATAAAAAGTCATTGTATGAAATTTAAATTTGCCCTGACTTCACCAGTGCTTTTTATGCAGCCGATTGTAAAACCAGGCAGATATCTAGATGAGCTGACGTCCCTTCGTCCCCTGGAAGATCTTTGTATATCCCAAAGATGTGTGTATCCCAGCCTGAGAACCTGTGGGCGTCAGCAATGGAAGATTTTTCTCTTCAGATCCACTTTTCAGTGGTCTCTCTCCTGAGCCTCCCAAGGTGTGGCCCACCGACAAAATTACATAAAGAAACTCCAGATGTAAACTTCAAAACAACACGCTGCCAGCCAAGAAACACAGTAAAGTTCACGGTAAACACGGTAAGACCAGGCCATGTCTGGGACCAGGAGATTGCAGCTGATTTTCTCTGTTACGCAGAAGGAGCGGTGGCTTCTGAGAATCCAGCCGAAACTCTCCAATGAGACGCTGCTTGCTTCATCCTTGTGATTGCTTATAAGGTCCAGTGTTCACAGGTTGGAGAGAGAAAATTTGCATGCACACACACACACATCCCCCCGGTGCTTAGAAGAATCATCTCTCCTCCGGGTGGATTGTTGTAGAACTGGTCGGACCGTTCATTCGGCCATCGGGCAAAAGAGGCAGACACAGAGAGGGGGTGTGAGAAACACCAAGAGGGGTTTGCTTTCTGAAGACCACAGTGATCTGCACGGAGCACGGAGAAACCACAACCGCAGATCCCACAGCTGCTGAGCAGCACGAGGTAGGACATTGCGAGAAAAAGAAACACCTGGTAGCAAATCAAGTACCTCTCTAATCCAGAACTCTCTCAGCTGGAAACATCCATCATCCGGTGTGATTTTAGTTAACCAGTTATCCACTTTTCATGGGTGTAACCAAGTTTCCCACGGTCCCATAAAGTTCGTTTACAGCCACCCATCCTGGCTTTCGGTGTTCTGTGCTGGGATTTAGCTCTAATTTACCCCTCACTGTCCTCTAACAAGAAGTGGAGGGGTTGTTGATGCTGCTAGACAATTTTGACCTCCTGTGGTTTGGCAAATTCTCTGGTTTGGCACCCGTCAGGTGTCGAAAGTGCCAGACTAAAAGATTCAACCTGTACCGGTAACTACATAGGGGCTTCGCCAAACATTTAAAACAATCTCTGAATGTGTACAGTGTTGCTTCTCTTATCAAAGCTAGAATGATGGGATTGCTAGGATCCAGGGATGAAAGTAACTTCCATTTCTTAAAGGTCCTGTCGTATCACAACCCCTCTTGGGGCGGGTCAGAGAAGGAGCCTGGGGGGCGCAATAGGATGGTACCTGTAAGAAATTTAAGTGTGGAATGGAGTGCAGAAAACAGATGGAAGAGGTGGGGGGGGGGGGTGGGGATATGTGTGCAGGAGTCAGGGCAGGGTGCTAGGAACATGGAAGGTGCAAAAGTCAGAATGGGGGTGGGGTGAGGGGCTCAGGGAAGAGGGTTGGTGTGTGGAGGGAGGTTCGGGGCAGGGGCCATGGGGAGGGTGCAGGAGTCAGGACAGGGGGCTGGAGGTATGCGGGTGGTGGTGCAGAAGTCAGAGTTGGAGAGTGAGGGGCTCAGGGCAGAGGGTTAGTGTGTGTGTCTGTGTGTGATGTGCAGGAGTCATGGCAAAGGACTGGGAGTGTGTGGGGGTGGCTCAGGGCAGGGGGTTGGTGTGTGTGTGTACAGGCTGTAGTGGGGAGCTGGAGTATGTCCAGTTGCTGCCAGATTTCCTTTACCTGTTTGCTGTATGGGTCCATGCCTTGCAGCTCCAGTTTGCTGCACTGTCACAAGGGACCTATGTGGGGATACTACTGGAGGGAAACCGGCGGTAGTGCAAGAGATCCCCCTCACCTGCCACTCTCTTCTCCTGGTTTCACAGACCTCCG